AGGGGAAGACGGCTGAAGAAAAACTGCTTGACTGGGCAGGACACAGTGGATTCCTGGGAGCAGCCATAAGGTAAGAGTAGGTTAAGTTTTAAAAAGTCTTCCTTAAGCGAAGACTTGATCTGGAGGTCAGGATGTTTTTTCCTTAGGCTAAGGCTTGATTTGAAGGTCAGGATGTTTTTTCCTTAAATGAATGCCTTATGCTTAAGATGACATCTAAAACACCAATCTTGAGTTGTTTTCACAAAACACCTGCTGCTTCAAACCTGCTTTGAAGTCTGTATACCTCCAGACTCGAAGGAGCCAAGGAGAACCTTAGCCAGGAGGCCAGAAATAATTACACTGACCTCAGTGCTGACCAATAGACATCCACATGCTTCTTGGGACCCCTACTTCAATTCATGCCCTATAAGTGTCCGTAATTTAAAGCTCTCAGGAAGTCCAGGGTCTTAAAGTTCTTTTAGGTACCATGGGCTCCTTTGAATGGCCATCCAAATAAATGCTCATCTTTAACACTGCAAACTTTGGCCTAAGACTTCTTAGTCATTTGGGCAGCAGATAAGGAACCCCTAAAGGAACCTCAGAGACCTTGAATCCAACAACAGATGGTGGGGGGAAAGGCTCAGAGAGATTTAATGACTTGTCCAAGGTTGCACAGCTAGTTAGTAACAGAACAAGTTTCAGACTCAGGTCTGACTCCCAAACACCCGCCACATCTTCCTTTCTCTTCCTTACTCATCTGGTCATGGACAGCTCTTGCTAGGATCTCAGAGAGATCCCACAGAGAGGGCTCTCATCAGCTAGCTCCCTGTTAGCACTCCTGCCCACAACTAGCCCCCTGGAGTAGGCACCTAATTGCCACAGAGTGCCACCAAGAAAGCCCTGGGCAAGGAGATGGGAGAATGAATGATGGAGATTCCCTAGAAGTAGGAGCTCAGGGCAACAAGGTGTCAATTACTAAGCATGTGGGGGTGCTATGCAAATATCATACACACTACATGTAAATAACCAGAGGTTATTGATGAATCAACAAATTGAGATTTATTTTTTTATTTTTTTTAATTTGTAACTAGATCACACTAAATAATGTGAATCTCTTTTCTCTCTCGGCTTTCTGCCAAGTGGAAGGAAATAAAATTTGTGGTTGACTGACCAAGCCATGTCTTGCTCAGTGAGAGGCCAGCTGACTCCTATGTCCAGACACCCAGACATACCTCACCAGTGCTTGGTCATTATCACTCCCTCATGTCCAGGGCTGCACCTACCTTTGACTGGCATATCAGGGCATGAGGCCAGGCACCTGGGGACATCTGGCTGAGAGGGGTCTCACAGACCCAGCCGCCTGCTGACTCCAACTGCCTAGAGGAGAACAGAACATGCAGTTCCTCCTGCAGGGGACCTAGGCAGTGACAAGCAAGGGACTAGAGTGGCCCAACCCCTCATCCAGGACCCTGCTTGAGGAGCTAGGCCCCGACAGCCTTTTCCCAACTCAGGAGAAAGGCTCCTCTCCTTGGGGCAGGACACTCTCAGGCACTGCTGGTGTGTGGCCCTGAAGGAGCCATGCTGAGCTAGTGGGGGCAGCTGTGGCCAGGGCCCTGAGGTAGAAGGGGGATAGGTCCAGCCCACAGCAAGAAGGTTAGAGGTTAGACATCTGGGAGGCCTGCTTGAGGATCCGCCTTGTGTGCTCTGGAAATCCAGCCAATTCAGTCAACTTTTACTGAGTGTCTGCTATGCACCAGACACTGAGCAGAGCATTCTGGGGAATTTACAGAAACAGACAAGATGTGGTCACTGCCCTCGAGGCACCATCAATCCACAGGGGAGAAGAAATGTATTACATGTATTGATGTAACTTATCAGTACTTTGACACTATTATGGATTGAATGTGCCCCCCCCCCAAATTTAATGCGTTGGAGGCTTGATTGGTCCCCACTGTGAAAGTGTTAAGCGAGTGGGAAATCCTATTATGGTAATTGAAAGGTGGGGCCTTGAAAAGATGATTAGATTGTAGGACCGTGCAGTAGTGATAGTAAATGGATTAATAAGGGTGGTCGTGGGGGTGGCTCTGAGGATTTTAAAAGGAGAGCATATGAGGGTCTCTCTTTCTGCTGCAGTATTTTCTGCCATGTGAGACACCTGCAGTGCTATAAAGCCACCACCAAAGAAAAGCCTCACCAGATGTGCTCCCTGGACTTTGAACTTCTCAGCCTTTGAAACTGTAACCAATAAATTTCATTTTCTTATCAATTACCCAGTTCCAGGTATTTTGCTATAAGCAACAGAAATGGACTAGTACAGAAACCTCCTTGGAAATGTGTGTGTGAGTGTACATGTGTCTGCACGTGTGTGTGCTGCCGTAGAAGAGCATGAGTGTGGGGGCAGGGGAGGCAGGGCTTGCCTGTCCAGCCCTACTTTGAGCCATATGTTAATAATGATAATAAGGCTGGTCCAAGTGCAGTGATGTTTACAACTAATTGATCACAACCAGTTACAGATTTCTTTGTTCCTTCTCCTCTCCCACTGTTTCGCTTGACTAGCCCTAAAATTTTTTTAATTAAAAAAATAATGATAATAAAACTGTAACCATAAACCTACCATTCATAGCTTGCATATAATATATCAGGCATAATACTAAGTGCTTTCTATGGATGAGTTCACTATATTCTTCCAGTAACCCTCGAAGTAGGTACTATTATTAATGTCTCTTTTTATAGATGAGGAAACTAAAGCTTAAAGAGGTTAAGTAAGTGACTTTCCCAAGGCTACACAGCTAGAAATTATAGCAAGGATTCGAACCCGGGTCTGGATTAGGCTCTATGCATGCCCCTACCTCGGCCCTCAGAAGACAGCTCCTCAAGACCCCCCAGCCCTGAAGCAACAGCAACTGCCTCCTGGAGGAATAAGCCTGCAGTTCTGACCAGCACAGCCATCCCCACCCCCCTCTGTGGGGGCAAGTAGGGCACATTCTGTGGTCCGTGACCTCTGCCACATCAGAACAGTGCCTTCGGCTCTCCTTGGCACCCACTCAGCAGACAGAATTTCTCAAGCAGCCTTCCTACATCTGCACGTCTGCGTGAACTTCCTAATGTGGCAACACTTTGTCATAGTGATCGGACTCAGAGGTGGAGCCCTTCTCCTGGGCTGAGACCAGCTTCATGTGTACAGCCCGGCAATGACCTGGGACTAATGGCAGCAGGAAGGCCCCTCGGCGGCTGAGCTTACGGGGCTTCTGGGCTGCGTGCCCGACACCCTGAGCAGCAGTCTTCGCCCCACCTTCTCTGGGAAACCTGTGAAGGAGGTAGACGGCAAAAAGATGGGCAAGGAGGTGCTGGGCATGGGGAAGTCAGGAAGCAAGGCGGACCACTGAATCTAGGCTCTATTCCCAGCTGGCTTCCGCAGACCCTCTCCAGGTCCTCCTCCCTTACAGGATCACGATGAGATCAGGAAAAAATCACGCATGAAAAACGGCTTTGAAAAGTTAAATGTACACAAATGTAACTCAAAGGGAAAAATGTGGGT